ACCATACCCTTTTTCTTACTGGGTCCAGTCCATACCTTTGAGATACCACCATTCCTAGATCTTCTCCTAAGTCCAGGCCAAGTGAACGACTAAATATCCACCCTACAGGTGACACAGTCTCAGGGGTAGCCAGGAGCAGGGAGGTTGAGCTTCAGAGGAACCCATGGAGTCATTCGTTGCTTGATGGTCATGGTCTTCACCGCCGCACCTGGCTGGAAGCTTCTGGCATTACTGAGTCTGTAATTGGATAGCAGCTTGCCAGAGCAAGTAGGAGGCCTCTGCTTATAAAAATCATAGAAAGAGTTCCCAGAAGCCCTTGGCCTGTCCTCAGGCAGAGGCAGACTTCACACAGGCATGCCCGAGGACTATAAGACAGCAGTCTGCAGCTTCTTTCTCTTGCAAAGGGTTCCTTGTATCTAATCTCCATCCATCCTACTGTACTCCGCACCCTCGCACCTCTGGTCTCAGATGCAGAGCATTGGGAACCGAGAAAGGAAGCTCGGAGGTTGTCCAGCTCAATCCCCTGATTTGACAAGCAAAGAGACACAAGGCTAGAGAGGGGAGATTGCTTGCCCAAGGACACACAGTAAGTTAGTGGCTAAGCAGAAACGAGAGGTGGGCTCACCCAGGCCAGTGCTCCTCTGATGACCCCTGCAGAGCACATCCCATCTCATAGAAACTAGGGCTTAGAAGGAGTGCTTTATAAAAAACAGCAGGGCAGTAAGAACAGCCAAGGTCACAGCTCAGCAGTTTCACCTGCATCCTCTGATTTGTTTAGATCCTCACAATAACCCTACGACTGAGTCACTGATTCCTCGAGCATAAAACTGAGGCCCAGAGATTACTCATTTACTGTCTCCCAGATGCAAAACGTGGAACAAGCCGCCCATTTCAGTTCCGTTCGGCAAATACTGATAGTGCACCTGCTGTGTGGCACACACCGTGCTGGGTGCAGGGGAAGCCCAGAAGGGTGAGGTGCTGCCCTTGCCCTGCCCAGCTCCTGGTGCAGTGAGGATGATTTCAGTGAGCTGAAGAGCAGAACAAGAGCATGCATGATGCCAAAAGACCACCAAGGGCAGGGACAGGGGTGGGCAGGGGTCTATCCTGTTCTGGCAGCATGGACATGTTGCTGCCCCTCAACCTTCGCAGACACAGCCTTCTCTTACATCGCTGGTGTCACCAGGGATTACAGCAAAGTTACAGGGACAGAGCCTCTTCTCTGCAGCTTCTCTGGTGCCTTTGTTTACCCCAGCCTGCTGCAGGCATGACTACAGTGCAAGAGTTGAATTTGGAGTTCAGGTCTTGGCTCTGACCCCCAGCATTGCATGGCCTTGGGCCTCTCACCCTCTATAAACCTCCATTACCTTGTCAGCATAGGACTCAACACTGGCTGCCCTGGCTGCCTTAGCTTGTTCTGAGCCATTGAGCCAATGCGTTGGGGCTGAGATTTGCTGGACAGGTGAGATGGAGCTGCAGCTCAGTTTTAGTCCTCCCAGCAGCCCCTCCTTCGGCCTGCACTGCCACAGCTGGAATCCAGATTGGGGAATAAGGAGCTGCAGAAGGCCAGAGGCCTGGCAGGGAGTTGTGGAGGGGCCCCGCTGCCCTCCTGCGGTGAGCTGTTTGCAGAGGTGGGGGTTGGGGCAGGGGACTCAGGCTGCCCTGATTTTCTTAGCCCTCTTGCCTCTCCCCACCCACAGCTCTGAGGGACTGCCTTTGGGAGGTGACAGCAGCCTTGCCATGGGCTGTGCTGAAGGGAAGATAAAAATAGGCTGGAGCCATCCCTGGGGAGGGGAGGAGGGACAGAGGGATGTAGGAAAGAGGGGAGTAGTGCAGTGCAGGCTGCAGGCTTCACCTGGAGTGGGAATGCTAAGGCCTCCCAGGCTCCAGTGAGGAGCTGGTTGGGCCTGTGTGCCAGGGAGGGAAGGAGAGAGGGAGGCAGGGAGCGGCCAGGTGCAGAATGGCAGGATGGCTGACAGCTGGGTCATCTGGCCTCACCACTCGCCAGCTGTTTGACTCTCTCCTCTCGGAACATCAGTTTCCTCCCCTGGAAGTGAGAGCGATACTCCTTGCGCTGCCTGCCTCAGAGCATGTCATGAGGGTGAAATGAGATAATGACATGAACATCTTGCCGTCCGCAGCAAGCACTGAACTTGGAGTTGGAGAGCTAGGGGTCGTGTCTCATGGGTGGTGTTGGCTGAGTCACTTAACCTCAGAGAGTTTGCGTGAACATCTTCGAGGGAGGGTTGATGGTCCCCCTGCCTACTGGGCAGAGCAGCCTCTGAAGCACTTTCCTGGGCCTTGCCTCGGAGCTGAGACAGGGCACCTGTCTTCGAAAGAGAAGGCAACATCTAGTTCACACCAAGCCCTCAATGATGCACCAAGCAGGGACTGTCCTCAGGTTGGAACCTGGAGATACTGGGCCAGCTCTGCCCCTTCCTGAGCCTCAGTTTCCCTATCTGTAAATCAGGGAGTTGGACCATTGATTGCTAAGCTCCTCGTAGCCTCATCTACCCCCACAGGAGCAGGGGAAGAAGACTTGTGTGTCAGTTGAGATGTATATTAATTGAGCAGCTGACAGATCTTGGAGAAAATCACATGGGAACGGGAACGCTTAGAAGCACTTCATTTCCCAAAGACAGAGGAGTTGAACATGGAGTAGTGCCGGCATCTGGGTAACCAAAGGAGGGTTTGACCTTCCTTTGTTAGAATTCTCTTACAGACCCCAGAAAAACATTACAGGGGTCCTCCAGGAAGCTTTAGGGCAGCAAGTTTTCCTGACCATGCTGATCCCATCCCCCCCCCCGTGGCAGTGCCTCCACATGTCCTAAATATGTACCCCACTGGGGTGTTCACTAGATGCCACAGGGTGGGGGGAAAGGCTTTTTAAACATAGCTCTGTTGGCTCCATTCATTCTCATCCCCCACCCCATCGATGCCTGCTACTTAGTCTGAAATGACAGCCTTTGAAAACCAACTCAGTCAGTGGTTCATAGCCCTGACTCCAGGGCCGTCTTCCTGGACTTGAGTCCCCAGCCCATTGCTTACCAGCTGGGTGACCTTAGACAAGTTCCTTTATCCGTTTGTATCTCTGGTTACTCCTCAGAGAAGTGGGGCTGATATTAGCATCTAATGACCCTGTATAGAGTCATCGTGAGGATTAAAGGAATTAATGATTATAAAGTACTTAGGTCAGTGCTGAACACCTTTTGAATGCTATTGTTATTTTTATGGACCACTGGTATTCAAAGTGTGGCCCTTGGACCAACAGCATCAGAATCTCCTGGGAGCTTGTTAGAAATGCTCTGCGTCAGACCTACTGAATCAGAAACTTTGGGGATGGAGTCCAACCATCTGGGTTTTAAGAAGCCCTATGGGGGATTCTGATGCAGGCTAAGTTAGGACCCCTGTTACAGACAATCAGAGCTTCTTAAGTCTGACTCACTTACAAGGCAGTTGCCTGATGATCTTGCCTGGTCTCTAGCCTCTGTAAGACAGGACAGGCTTTGTCCTAATGATTTGGTTTCCCATTTGATGGTGACAATGAGCTTTGGGTCCCCAGTGTGTGTCGCCTTGGAACCCTTGTGCTATGGGGAGCCAAGGTGGTTGATCACTTTAGTGCCCAAGAAAGGGCTCCTACCTCAGTGCCAGAGGTGTGCCATGGGGGAGTAGCAGGAGGAGAGGCTGAGAACCCTGCTCGGACTCAGAATGGGAAAGCCTCACACCTCCATCCTCAGGCCACTGCTGCTGCTCATGGGCTGTGTGCCCTCAGACAAATCACTTGACTTCTCTGAGCCCACTTCCTTATCTCTTGTCTTCCTATTTTATGTGAGAGGAGCCTGAGACACAGAGGTAAGACCTACTGGGGCTCTGTGTGTCAGTGAATGGACAGACTGTTGGTCTACCCTCCTGCTTCAGCCCCTACTGAATGCACAGCTACTTCGGATGGAGCAGAACAACTTCTCTGGGGCTCCTGGAACCAGTCTGACCCAAAGCAGCTTAGTGCTAGATAACCAAGGTGCGGGTGGCCAGAGTTCCAGTCACATCCTAAGGAAGAAACCCCTTGTGGTTTCAAGAGTTGGGCATTTTGTGTTGCAGCTGATTACAAAGGAAAGAGCCTGAGTGAGAAGAAGATGTTTTTATGACAAGAATTGCAGATTTCTTCCAGACCAGTGATAGGCATGGTCTGAACCATCATCAGTATCTACTTTTTACTGTTTCATTGTTTCCAGACCTTAGAAAGAATTTCTGAGTCTCTGTGTCAGATTAGGTGTCCAGACTTTCTTTTCCAGCAGGCTGCTAAATACAGAAGCTCCCCTAAATATAGGGGAGCTGGATAGTGGCGATGTCATATGGAAATAATGAGGTTAATAAGAGTTACTAGGCCAGGCACAGTAGCTGGCTGGGGGCGGCGGCTCACACCTGTAATCCCAGCACTTTGGGAGGCCAAGGCAGGCGGATCACCTGAGGTCGGGAATTCAAGACTCAGCCTGGCTAACATGGTTAAACCCATCTCTACTAAAAATACAAACATTAGCCGGGCGTGGTGGCGCATTCCTGTAATCCCAACTACTCAGGAGGCTGAGGCAGAAAAATCGCTTGAACCCGTGAGGCAGAGGTTGCAGTGAGCAGAGACGGTGCCACTGCACTCCAGCCTGGGTGACAGAGTGAGACTCCGTCTCAAA